AGACATTATTCAGATTTTGGTAGCCCAAAATGAATTTAAGAAGCCCGAATAAAAAATAAAAAAAGACATTGGCTGAAGTTCATTACGGACAAATCAGCATGATAAAAAGCTTCAGTGCCATGTTATTTAGATTGCAATTAGATTGTAGAATTTCGAAATTTGAAGCAAAAACAGAATGGTTTGATTTTAGCTTTGTGAATTAGACGCAAATGTCACTCTCTGACAGCAGGTGGCGCTTATGGAACAGCATGTATTTATAGGCTGCTGCCCCTTTAAGACCGAATGCACGGATCCAATATAATAATGAATTTGAGATTTCTTTCACCACTGTTTAAGTTCACGTAAGACATAACCGACTGTGTTTACGAGAATACTTGCCGAGACAGTTATTTTGAGATAATTTTGGGTGTATGTGTTCATTCAGATGCAAGGATATGCGAGAGAAGAATCAATTCTGTGTACACGCATTGTCTGAAACGCGGCTCTCTGTGCATGTTTTGAATGCGCGTGAATGGTTTAAAACGCTTGAATGTTTAAATCGGCAAGACTTAGAAACACATGCAAACGATCAACTATGATCCGTTTTACCCCTACAAGCTAGTGAACAACACAAATCAAGGAAGGAATTTTATATCACTGTTCAAGATAGAATCAGGGCGTTGATACATTTTGGTAGCCCGAATGGAAAACGCCGGGAAATTAGCTGTAGCACACATCCATTCGTTTTTTTTGGGCAAACATCACACGTTATTTACTGTTAGCATGTTGCAAAGCTACTGAAAGTATACTCCAATAAGCATAAAAATACATATACAAATAAACACCTGATACAATATTACATTTTAATCATATTAAACCATTTTATTGACATTTTTGCTTCTGAATGATTACTTTTTATGTATTTTTTTATTATAAATAACTGAATTGGTCAGAAAAAAAACCTGTAACAGCTGCTTCATAGAGTAAATTGCATGACGTTGTAGATAGATAGATAGATAGATAGAAACCCCCAAACGAATAAAAAACGACAAAAATACGTAACACAATTGCTAAAACTTAAACTGAAAATATAAGAATAAAAGCTAAATCGAAATATAATTTAATAAATATTATAATAGTGCCTAAATAATACTAAAATAATGTTGCTTTATGACATAAATGCTGCTTTCCTGTTTACTACTGTCAAGCTGCTTTGAATCGATCTGTATTGTATTAAGCTCTGTATATAATAAATCGGACTTGACTTGATGAGAATTTCTCACTTCAGTCTGCATTTTAGATGGACATGCTCTAGAAAGAAGCATTCACACTGAGAGAGTTCCAATTCTTTGCCTTAAAATCCTCAAAAAGTGACCAGCTCACTACATTTTGTCACATGTCATCTGTTTACTGTGACGCCACCCAACTTGATTTTAGCACACAGATATAAATGAAAGGTCACAGGAAGTAGTTTATAATGTAGCAGCAAATAAAAACACAGCTAAACCGCCCACTCTCATTTTAAAGCAGACAAAGACAAATATGATGAGTTAGAGAGCTTTAGCAGACAGCTTGAGTATGAAGTTATGTGCATGTGCGTGTGCACCCTAGAGTGATTTTGATCATGATTAATGTGATTTGCCTTTCAATTTTAATTTTCATTAAGGACCTGCTGTCTTCTCCAACTCCTAAATAGCAATGGGATTAATAAAACATATCATTTGAAATATACAGTGCAGGCCTGCAGCAGGGAATCCAAAATGTCTTCGGAAAACCGAACAGATTGAAGCGCATTCTGTGTTCACCAGCCGCCCCCCACCGCGAGCCCAGTCCGTGTCATGAGTGGCAACTGGCAAATAATTAGACGGGCTCATCTCATTAGAAAAGGAGACAGACAGTGATGATGCACAGGTAAAGAGAATGAGGTAAGTGAAAGCAAAGCAGACAGACAGCCAGAGAGAGAGGGGAGTAGAAACTGAGAATTTATGAGCCGTTAATGGGCTGATAAAGTTTGAAGAGTGAGCGCAGATAAAATGCAAGGGGAAACAGGAAGTTCAGTTACTTTATTTGTCAAAGTTGAAAAATGAGAAAACAACAACAAAGAACTTTTGGTCTGCTGTCGAAACTTTGATTAGAGGAGTTTTCTGTGATAAAGTCCTTACATTAATGAGCAATTAAAGTCTGCATGTGCGAGTGTGTACTAGAGTGTGTGATAACAGGTGGTTGCCAGATAGTCACAGATCTTTGAACCCCATCAGGAACACCTATAAATCATTGTGCACATTGCATTTTTAGATAGCATTATTTACTGCGTTTATGAGTCATTTATGCCTTCGAGGTCCCAAAAGAGAGCTTTTGTCAGATTTAGCTCATTTCTGGGGACATTTTTGTCCTCAAACTAGAGTAAATCCCTGCCATCCACACATACAGTATATAGCACCCTGCATAAACAAACACATTTCTGGGAGGCCTGACACACGGGTTCTGCTCCGAAACATAGTCTGCTGCCTAATTAGAACACATTTTAGGTGCAACTGTAAGGCTTACGTGGGTTTGCTTTTTAAAGAGGTGGTCCACCCAAAAAAAAAAGATATCTTAAAGACATAGCCCACCCAAAAATGAAAATTCTGTCATTGTTTACTCAACTCATTTCATTCCAAACTTGTATGGCTTGCTTTTTTCTGTGGGACACAAAATTAGGTATTTTGAAGAATGTTTTGGTTCCCATTTATTTGAATTGTATAGACAAAAAATGCTATTTCATTTTTGGGTGGACTATCCCTTTAAGGATATACCTTATTTTGGTCAAATCCTAAGAGGCCGTTCACACAGGATGTGTTCCTGCATTGAAAAGCAGCTAAACGCAGTGCAGAGGAATGGACCATAAGGTCTCAAGACACATTTTAAAAGTTGAACTTAATTTAACCTGATATGGTGTCTTAAGAAGTGGCAAGAGTCACAGATGCCCACTTAGCGCCATAAAACAACAATGAAAATGTCGTGCAGATGGATGCTAGAGTGTGTCCTGTGCGAAAGGCCCCTAAGGCAGCATTGCATGTTTCCTTAACATAAAAGATAATACCATAATGCAATGTGACGAGTGAAAAAATATCCACCCAAGATGGTAGATGAGGCAAGAGAAATCCTTTTGACTATATACATATTTAAAAATATATATTTTAATACATTTAATATAATACAAAATACTTTATTACACACACACACACACACACACAAAAGTACAGAAGCATACTTTTCATATGGAATAAAAATATTCATATTAAATATTAATTATACATTGATCATTAATGTTAGTTCATAGTTCATCAACTAAATGTTAACAGATGCAACTTTAAAATAAAAAAAATATATATTTTTTTATTATCCCTTCAAATACATCTTCATTAACCTCAGTTAATGTTACAAATGGAATCGTACAGTATTGTGAAGTGATAGCATTTCATATAAACCCAAACGCGATCTATATGATAGCTCTCCATATGAGGCATACAGACTTTATTAGAGCCACAGAAAGACAAATGTTTTGCTGAAAAATGCACAATACACAATTTTACAGCCTAGGATGAAGTCATTATGCACATTAGCAACGATTTGGGACAAATATAATGTAATGAGTGGCGCTCTGCAGCGCGGCAGGATTTCTGTTGCTGAATGAACACATCAGTGTGCTTTCTCACATCACAGCTTTAAATCTGCATCTTCACTGGCTTACAAATGCATTAACGTGACCAGCTGGATATAAACTGACACTAATAGATGGTAACAGTCGTGACATTAAACATTTGGGTCACTGTTTAACCGCTTGAGGTTTGCGTCCTCTCAGCCTTCATGGCAAACATACTATTTCTCTTTCTCCACTAATGCAGCATCTAGTCAACAAATTAATTACTTTATAATGATATGAAAACATGACCTATAGTAGCCTATTCTGTATACGCTCCATTTCATTGTCGATGTTTTAAATCCGCATCTGAAGTGTCCTGCTCTGTGCAGCGCTCAGTGTCACGTGTCAAAACAAACAAAAACTACTCAGCCGCTCCAGCAATGGACGGGAAAACTATCGCATGGGGTTTTGCCGATAACCGATAGTTAAAGCAATCAACTCTTGGTGTCGATTAATCGGCATGAAACTCTTTTTGCAAAAACAGGCAGTCATTACTACTACAGTGACTAAACATATTTACAATGTTTTTAATTTGTCCTTTACTTTACTTACAAGAAAAAAAACAACAAACAGATTTATTGATATATATATTTTTATTTTTTGTCCCTAAAAAACGTTGAGATTCTTGTTCGGCAAACTGAGCAGGCCATCGTGTTACACCTGTTTCACACATACTCAGTTTGCAGTGCGTATGTGGTGCGTATTTATTTCCGCATCCATGTTAACAGATTAGAGACTATTGTCTCCAATGTTATTGAGCTGTGTACTTTCACTAAGAATTACTACAGTGTGGCACTGAATGAGGTGCTTGATCAGCTTAAATATGCCAGGAAGAAACACACACACAAAAGACTGCTTGAAGCAGAGCGAATAGACAGATGTCACTTTAAAATAAACCTTAATGTTTTAACAGTCACGATAAATAAGTAATGGATGTGTGGATGACATCACTTCTCTCTGTCTCTCTCTGACTGTCTGTGTCCTTCATTGTCTTTGACCTTCTGGTGAATGCTACTCATAAACCACCGTACTTTCCCTGACAAATTCAGCCCAATGCTGCGGTAGATGAGGATGCTTTCAGACAAACCAAACTCCAGTTAGAATCTGAAGTATATACATACAGTATGTGCATGCACAAGTATAGATTTGTGCAGAGAAACAACGTCATCAAGCCTCCAACCTGTCATATAGACACCACTGTTCAATAAATTCCCCAAGAGTACAACAGTACAATATCAGTTAACCAAAGCAAAAAACCAACACTGACTTTAAGTTGAGCATTTAAATGTTTTTGTCTTTCTGAGTGTGTGAATTCAAACCAGGGTTGAAGGCTCACCCATATGTTTTCCGTTCATGTGGTAGTAGAAGGAGACACAGTAGGGGGTTCTGGTGGTCCCCGTTGGTCCTCGGGCTGCCGTAACATTATACAATGGAGAGAGGAGACGAGCTCTATCCCCATCCTGGCGCGGCCGCGACGTCTCAATGTACATGTAGTAACCTTTATTGCATAAGGAAAGTACAAAACGCTTGTGTTACCACAGGGTTTTTCAAAGAGGGCAGAAGCTTTCACAAAATAAATAATTATACACACAGAAAAAAAAAATTATTAAAAAAATTAAAAAGAAATAATAATTTTAAAAAAATCTGCTTTCTAAAGATTCTAAAGCAATAAAATGAAATTTGGTTTTGTTTTTGTTGTAATACAAGTGTATCTTTCTATGGAGTTTCTCAACTGGAAAAATTCTCTAAAGAATTAAAGGTAAAGGTGCTTTGGAATAATTTTTAGTTTGAAAAAGTGCTATAAAAATACATTTAAATGACAAAGAAAAAGTTCTCTTTAGATTTATAAATCTATAATTACGTCAATAGTGGGCAGAAAAAAAGATGTCCACTTTGGTGTGTGTTTTTACCTTCTTTTGTCCCACTCCTGTCCGTATCCGGCCCTGTATTAACCGACCGTTTGGGGTTCTGTGTGAGATGGTTCTGTCTGGTCCAGTCAAACACATCTCTGCGGTCTTGAGTGAACCCACATATCCTAATGTCCTCAAACCCACACACGTGATCTGCACACAAAAACATGAGAGGGAATAGAGATATACCTTGCCATTTTTTTTGTTGTTTTTTTGGCACATGCATATAGTAATTATAAGTTCGAAACATACTCTACACAAGCATATGAATACAAGAATATGTTACAAAAGTTAAGAAGAAATATTTCAGGTGAAAAAGATGTGTCTTTAGATGTTTTTTTGAAAATGGCTAAAGACTCAGCTGCTCTAATTGAGATAGGTAGGTCATTCCACCAGCTGGGAACAGTCTAGGAAAAGGTCCGTGAGAGTGATTTTGTGCCTCTTTGGGATGGCACCACAAGGCGTTATTCCCTTGCAGAACTAGCGAGTTTGGGTATATTGTTGCAGCACCAGTGGTTATCTTGTAGGCAGACATCAGTGCCTTGAATTTGATGCAAGCGGCTATTGGCAGCCAGTGTAAAATGATGAAAAGAGGTGTGACGTGGGCTTTCTTCGGCTCGTTGAAGATCACTCTCGCTGTTGCATTCTGGATCAGTTGCAGAGGCTTGATAGTACATGCCGGAAGGCCCGCCAAGAAAGCATTACAATAGTCCAGTCTGGAGAGAACAAGAGCTTGGACAAGGAGTTGTGCAGCCTGCTCTGATAGGAAGGGTCTCATCTTCCTAATGTTGTATAAGGCAAATCTGCAGGACCGGACCATTGTAGCAATATGGTCTGTCAAGCTTAACTGTTCATCAATCACAACTCCAAGGTTCATTGCTGTCCTGGAAGGAGTTATGATTGATGAACCTAGCTGTATAGAGAAGTTGTAATGAAGTGCTGGGTTGGCTGAGACCACGAGCAGTTCTGTATTAGCAACGTTGAGTTGAAGGTGATGGTCCTTCATCCAGCCAGAAATATCTGTCAAACAGGCTGCAATGCAAACAGCTACCATCGGATCATCAGGTTGGAATGAGAATTAGAGTTGAAAAGCCATGATTCTGAATTACAGATCCTAATGATGACATGTAGAAGGAGAAGAGAAGTGGTCCAAGCACTGAGCCTTGAGGAACCCCAGTAGCAAGACATTGTAACTTATGGCGCTTTTCCACTGCATGGTACGGCATTGCACGCTTTCGGGGGGTTTTCCACTGTGTACAGTACCCGGTACCTGGTACTTTTTTCATTTTTTCGGTACCCCCGCGGCTGGGGTTCCAAGCGAGCCGTACCATTAACAAAATGTGACGTGTAAACCCTGCTGATCACTGATTTGCCGGAGAAAATTGGCACTGTCATTGCATTGAACTTGTGACACGAGACACTAGACCCGTTAGATTAAATCAGCACAGCCAGCGAGGATCGAATGCAACTTTTTTTGAACGAACGCAACAGTTTCAAATAAGAGCACCTTTTTAAAACAAAATAATGGCTGTTTCGTGGTCTGTTGAGGAAGTACAGACATTCCTCTCGTTGATAGCCGAGGAGCGGATCAAGCAAGAGCTTGATGGGACGACGCAGAATGAAAAAGTTTTTCAGGAGGTCACGGCAGTAGAGGTGGCGCAACATGTCTATAATCCCACCCACTCTAAAGCGGTACTAAACTGCAGTGGAAACGCAAACCAAGCCGAGCCGAGCTGTACCGTACCGTGCCGAGCCTAGCCGTACCATGCAGTGGAAAAGCACCATTAGAAACCTCACTCCTCCAAGACACCCTGAAGGATCTACTTGAGAGGTAAGACTTGAACCACTGGAGTGCGTTTCCTGAGATGCCCATCTTCATGAGGGTGGACAAGAGGATCTTGTGGTTAACTATCAAACGCAGCAGACAGATCCAGCAAGATGAGTACTGAGGATTTGGAAGCT